GTTCTGCAGCCTCTGTCGGCCCTGCTCTCAGATCCTCCACATCTTGGGTGTCATGTCTGCTCTGACCCTTATCTGTTCTGACTCCCTTGCTCCCTCCTCCATGGAGGAAGGAGCAGCTAGCTCTCCTCCCCAGGCTGACCACAGGCTCAAGCTGGTCTTGCTCCATTCTGGCTCATGGTCATTACCACCAGCTGCCAGCAGCCTGATGCTGACAGGGGTCTCCAATGTACATCTACTTTCAAAGGATGTTGGATAATACCAGAGACTATCTGAAATAAGATAACATTTGCCCCATTTGGGAATATTTACTGATGAGTTCACATTCATAAAGATGCAGAGCATGCTCATGAGCTCTTGCTGTTTGCAGGGAGAGAGGGGGATGGGAGAGGGAGGTGGAGAGGGGATGGGAGAGTCAGGCATCTGCAAATGACGAAGTAGGCAAAGACATAGTGGATTCTAAAGTACAGCTGAAAGCTCTGCAGTTTGGGCAGCTGAATCCCATTAAGAAATCATGAGAAAGCTCTGTATTCCTGCCATTGTGATGAAGAGGAAAAATAATCTCTGAGGGTTTCACAAAGAAAACATTTTGTGACCAGGAGGCTTAAAGTTCTGCAAAAATCTAATGAAAATAAAAAGTTTGACAGGCACCCAGCAAGTCCCTCCTGGGATGCTTTCTTACAGGTTTTACCCAGGAGGCCCTAGAAGGGACATTCCATCCTTCAGCCACTGCCACCACCACTATTGCCACCTGGGAGCATCTGCAAGGAAGGCAGAGCCAGGTGGCCCCTCAGCTGATGGGAGACCACAGCCCTGGGGCTGCAGGGAGCAGACAAAGCTGTTATTCACAGCCTGTTTTTCTAAGTCATTTTATGTCAGTAGAATGATCTGCCTTAATTCTTTTGTCTCTAACCTTTACTTTAGACTGTGACTACATCTTAAAGTTAAAATTTAAGACACATTTTAAAATTAAATGAAACATCTTAAAATTCAAATTTAAGCCATTCTCAGGAATAAGATAGGATTCATAAAAATATTCCTGGTAGCCATTTTGAATGACTGATGGGGCACCATCTCTCCAGGCACCTGAGATTTTTTAATAGGCTCCATGCTGTGATGGAAAAGGCCAAATTGGTCTTATGAAAAAGCAACATGTTTACATTGTATTTTAATAATACAAAATGCATGTAGATGTCAAAGCAAAGACCTTTTACCAGAATGGTTTTAAAGGCTCAGTGGATATTTGTATTCTATTTCTGTATGTACCTTGATCTATGCTTGAAGGACAATAAACCTCAGGATACACCAGAAGAAGGCTGAGCAAGTGGAGGCGGGGGCATTCTATACAACTTTTAGCCTGCAGAGACAAAAGCTGAGGGAAGAGAGAATTGATGTTTACAAAACCATAAGAAGGACACCAATACCTTCCCTGAAGTTGAAACAAAGGCAGCTTTTGCATAAAAAATGACAAGCATTCAGTCCCGTGGTGACTGGCAATTCTATGGAAACCATTATCCAAAAGAGATGCTTCCATCAGAAAATAAAAAAAATAATATGAAGAGGATGATGAATTTAATAATAAATAATTGATGCAGGATTCTGGTATGCCTCACAGAAAGCAACTTTGTCTTCTTTCTTTCCCTGCTGTTATTCCTAGTTGTCATTTTGGGACCAGGTCACTTGGTTGAAGAGACAAGCAGGTCTGGGGTCTGAATACATACAGGGGTGACTCTTTGGTTTTGTTAAGAGCATGATGGTCTTGGTCTGTGTTCACCTGCCCCTCCTCCACCTCCTTTAAGGCTGGGGTGTCCAGTCTCTTGCTTTTAATAACTTGGGCAGAAAGATGTAAGACACAGGGGCTGTGTCCATCCTCATAATTTGAAGTCAAAAGACCAGCCCAGTGTGAGGCTGGCTCTGCAGCAGCACCGTGGGAGTCCAGCAGCCAGAATTTCATAAACATAGCTTATGCTAATATAGGATTCCTTTCTATCCCTTCCCCGGGATCTGGCCTCTCACAATATTTACTTTCTTGAAAGTACTTGAGAGAAGCGTAGCAAATTGATGAGGGTGTAGAGTGTCCCTGAAATATCTATTTCACCTCCAGACATTTCCTCTGTCCCTTTTCACCTTTCTCTCCTCCTCCTCTCCCCTTCTCTCCTCTCCTTTGTCTCCTGCAGGATGAAAGGGTGGTAAAAGATGCAGCAGGCATGGGCATAAAATAACTCAGGGGTCTCCTCAGAATGCCAACACGGACCACCTTCTTGGCCTGTAACACCTGACTTCCTTACAGAAAGTGGGCAGCTACAGGCCCCAGCAAGCACCTACACTAAAGCATCACACAGGTGGGGTTTAAAGGAGTTCTAACCCCTCCTCTTTCCTCCTTGGTTTGTCTTGGCCAGAAGCCTATCCATGGCACATTCCAGGACAGCTGAATCTTCCCCTGAAATGAAAACTACAAAACAGCCTCATTTGTAACCTCCCAGCTGTGTCTATAATAAATTTAACAGCAACATCTGGGCAGACACCCCCTCTCCCTCTCTTAGGAGGGGTCTTAGGTACTTCTTTTGTGTATATGAGTTGGGGGAGGGAATGTTGGCTATAAAAGAATCACATAACTTAAGAATGTGAATAAAATTGGTCTTCTTTCTCCAAAAATTTACTATGTAATTGCAAATGGATCTAAAAGGCTTTAAGTGTGAATTCAAATGGAACGAGGGGGCTCTTCTGAGGAGACAGATTTCTTTTTAATTAATTAACTTACTTATTTTAATTAGGTATATATGACAGCAGAATGCAATTTGATTCATTGGACACAAATGCAGCACAACTTTTCATTTGACAGCTTTAAGCTCAGCTGATGAGAAGTCGAAGCTCTTTGAAATGGTTCCTGTTAAGGTCTTGGCATTCTGAATTCAATGCATTCTCTTTTCCACCACCTTAGGCATTTGTTTTTAATAAGTCTTTACAAAATAAATGCTTCAACAAAGGACTTCAAGACTGTGTTTCTGACCAGCAAAGTAAGTATAGGCTCCAGATGTTTCTCATTTTTCTATGTCACTAATTCAAACTCAAAAGTCTCTTGTTCATTGAGCATTTATTTGATCCTAATGTTTTACAGTACCTCTCTTCCAAGAATCCCCTTTTCCTGTCTCTGTATCCCTTCTCTCACCAAAGTCATCTACAGGGTAATTTTCCATAGATGGAAGTGTACCTTTCCAGCATATTCTAAGTATCTAGAGAGATAAATCATCTTTCAAGGTTCTCTTCAGGCCCTTTGATCTTCTTATGTCTGCATTTGAGTCACCGGATGGTCTTTTTTAGATTTCACTCCAAAGGCTGGTTGACATTAGAGGAGCTAATAGCAGTTGCTATTCTGTGCTCTATGGAGGGACTGTGTCATACTTCACTATGGCCCCAATTCTACCTGGGCCCTGTTGCACTGCCAGGAATGGCCAGCAAAACAGAGAAGTAGAGAACAGAGAAGTGGCAACAAAAGTAGCAAATCTTTTGGAAAATAAAGCAGAGTAGCTTTGCAAGTGGCGTTCTGGTGGTGATGGGGACACACGGAGGTGAATTATGCAAGGAAGAAACTCTTGAGAACTTCCCTATGCTTGTTCTTAATGGGACAAGGTCTGATGTGACATTTTAAATTTTATAATTCTATTAATAAAATTATCTGTAATTAAGGCCAGTGTTTAACACTGTCACTGTATTAAGTGTTCCTGAATTCTCTTCTGGATTTCTTAGACCATCCTAACAAGTGAATTCTATTCTCTCCATTTCATAAGTGAGGAAACTGAGTCTTAGAGACTCTAATACCTATTTTCTCAAGAAATAAGCATAATGTGAAGAAAAAATTATGCATTTCTTTGCAAAGGAGGGGTCATCTTAAGCAGATATTTTGGGGTGACAATCAGTCATCATTTCATAATGACAGCATCCCCATATATATTCTTTTTTTGGTTAAGCAGATAATTCATAGGCATCCCCAGCGTTACCTCAAAACATAGTAATTTGGGGGAGATATGGGTGCTAGGCAGCTATCTAGGCTGGCTTCCCCAGTTGGTGACAATGAATGTCACAGAGAACTCCAACATATAAGTAAAAGAGAACAGGACCACACTTTGTACAACACATTGCTTTGCAATGACTTCAGAGGTGACAAATCAATACTTCCAGCACATAAAAATATTGCTTCACTTGTAAAGAGAATGTCCTTTGCATATTAAGTGTAAAAAATAGTCATCTCAGAGGTTGGGTGCCCTTTCATAGATGTATCTTCCGGGACTATTTTCCTTTTCAAAGCTAACAAGGGATTTATATAGGTGAAAATTTCTACTGAAAGCCTGATTTTTGGGGGGTCTCAATTACATAGCATTTACATTTTCATAAAGAACAAAGTGTGAGGATTGGGGATGTAGCTCAGTTGGTAGAGTGCTTGAAGGCCAGCCCTGGGTTCAATCCCCAGCACCATACACACACATAAAAAAAAAAAAAAAAGAACAAAGCATGATTTTTTATGAAGCAAACCTGAGCTTGCCAGATGAGGAATGAATAAAGTGAAAGGAAAGAAAAGCAATGGAGAAAGGAAATGAATAACAGACATGTCAAACCAAATGCTAGCCCCAATCTAGCTCAACCAAGAGGAGACATATTTTGTTCATTTGGTCTGTGAAGCCAGTCTAAAACTGGTACTTAAAATTGTGTGTGTTTCAGAATCATCTGGGAAGTTTACTAAAACACTGTGGGAGGGCCTGAGATATCTGTAGAAATCCATAGAACATTTCTAATTAGCTCTCAGGCAGTGTTTATGCTGCTGGCTGGGGACCCTCATCATCAGAATCAAAACGTATCCTGAACTGAGTATGTTTGGAGATCTGTTCGACCTTTCCCAGTTTACATTCTAGATATCTCTGTCCAAGGCTGATACCATCTTTAGATTTTCAAAACTTGAGAGTTTTTAGAAATAAACGTTTATAAGGTTAACATTTAATGTATCTTACCTGATGAAATCTGAGAAGTTTTCAACCAGAACAAGCTTCATAAGAGAAAATGGATGTGAAAGCTGTTGAGAGAAAGATAAGGGACAATCAAGAAAGGGAATATATATTTCTCTTTCACTATAACATATTAATTCTTGGACAGAGTGAACACCATTATGCCATGGATATGTAAGTTATATTTTTGGCATCATTTTTTAATTAAACAAATGTGTAGTTGAAAAAGATGCAACAGATCAATACAGTGACTAGAAAAAAAGGATATTTTAATTTGCCTTAGTTATGAAACAATTTTTAATAATTGAAGGATTAAAAATACATTTTTTTACTCCAAATTCTGCTTTCTAATGCAATGATGTGATCTGCTAATTCAATATGTGATCTCAGGCAGTGTTCATGCTGCTGGCTGGTTTCAATGGTTTCTTTCTTTTTTAGATTATCAAATAATACAAGGAAGTTATAAGCTCTGAAACCTTTGTCAAAATAAAATGAAAAGGATAGGGGATGTAGCTCTGTGGTAAAATGTCCCTGGGTTCAATCCCCAGCACCAAAAAAAGAAAGATATAAAAAAGTGCCCGAGAGAGGCACGTGTCTATGGTGTTTCTGTGTTTATAAGGGCAAGTATAGAATTGGGGCTTCTTGGGTAACAGTACTTTCTAGATATTTTAGCTACAGCATTTCCAGGTGCGAGAGGGGATACAATGCCTTCCTTGGTCAGGCATTTCACTCACACCTCAGCCTCTGGATTCCCCATCACGCCAAGCCCAGCAGTCTCAGGGATCCCTAGGCAGCATTGTTTCCAGACTTCTTGATCACTTGCAGGTGGTACTGAACAACACAAACCAAATGCTAGCCCCACTCCAGCCCAGCACACCTGCCTGATTGTTTTGGCTTTTTAGCCTGCTCCTGGCGGTACAGGGATAACTTTGAAGACCAAGACATGGCGCTGGTTTGACCACTCCATTCTCACTTCGTATAGGATCAAAAATAGTGGCCATTCCTCTCTGGAGCTTCAGTGCTTCCTCACTTCTTCTCCTGCCACACTGGTTTCTGGATTCAGTCTGATTACAATTCATGCTCTGTTCCTCCAGAGCAGTCTGGGAAGGCCCAGGGAGTCCAGACTTGTGAAGGTGAAACATGAATTTGGCTTTCTTTAACTGAGCTCATCAGATTTTTAATGTCAAAATCAATGAAAGGTTTCCTGCAGACAACAGTCTCAGAAAATTTCCCATTCACAGTCAAGGTTTATAAAGGGCCACATCCCCTCCATAGGATTAAATATAGCCTACAATATTTTTATTCTAGGAAGACATGATGAACTCACAGCTATTTTGCCAAGTGCTTTCTTCTTTAAAAATTATGTTCATCAGCTCATCAGGGAAAGGTGCCCATGACTATCTTTCTAGCTTGCCTGGGTATAAATTTGGCAATTTCAAGACTCTAAACTCACTCCAAATATAGCTATGTATTTGTGTGTCAGCAAAGGCTATTTTCTTTGTCCTTTATTGGAAAAAATGTCAATAGCAAACAGTTATTGAGCTTTGAGGTTGTCATAATGTGAGTCTTGCCTTGGAAGTGCTTACAATGAAGTCTAAATATAAGACCGGCAAACATGAAATAATTAGAAACAATGAAAGAGGATAGAGTTAAGCATCAGTTGTGAAGTACCGCCCTTAGACCTTAGTGTATGATGTCAGAGAATTGGAGACAGCTTTAGGAAAGAAGTGACTAAGGCAAAGATTAAAGGAAGCATATGATTTCTATAAACCAATGGGTCATCTTTGTTTTATTTAGAAAATAAGTGCATTAGATTATACAATTTAATCCCACTCACTAAATATTATGGTAGGAATCTAGAAGTCTCATACTGGTAACTAGTGGGCTAAAGAACTTTGCTATTTGACCTTCACTTGTAATATTTTTAAACAAATTCAAAGTCATTGCCAACATTAACACATTGAAAGATTTTAGATTAAAAAGCCTAGATCTCCTTTTTGTGAGATCCTGTTTTTTATAGAAGGGGATTGAGAGGGAAGGGGGAGGGAAGAGCATGGGGAAATATTGGGAAACAAAACCACCAAATCATGTTATGATCATGTACAAATATACCACAATGAATCATACACACACACACACACACACAAACACACACACGTATATATTCATATATAATGAAAATGCACTAATAATAATAATAGAAGGGAGATCAGTGAGGTAGAACACGTGGATTGAGGGAAGGGAGGAAAAGATGGAAAATAAAGTTCTGGAAAGGAGACTGAGCAAATTATATGACATGCATATATAAATATGACATAATGAATCCCACTATTATGTATAATTATAATGTATGAATAAAAAATAAATTAAAAAATGATAAAAGCCTAGATTGATATTTTCCTTTAAAACAATTAGACAATCTGTCACAACGTGGCCTACATTTCTGCATGGTGACCATAAACTGGAGCTGAGAGCACCTGCCCCATCATATGGGGTCCTAGCTCCCCTGTCTCTACGCTCACATGACTGCCTGTTGCTTCTCCCCCTAACCTGCTTTGCTCACCTCTGTCAACTGGCTGTTTCCTGCAGCAGTGAAATTTGCAACCCCTGCTGGACATTAACAGAGTCTCTTATTTGTGTGTGTGTTGGGGCGGGGGGGGGGGGCGTTCTGGCAAGTGTTCTACTCCAACTAATTCAATAAAAATAAGTGGTCACATTTGTGTATATGTGAAAATGAATCCCACCATTATGCACAACTACAATGCACTGTAAATAAAAAAACAGAATAGTTATCATAATTTTAAAAAAGTGATCCTGCCTCTTTTGCAAGGTAAAAGTTACACACAGAAGGATAATTGATAAAACATTGTTCTTGGTCTAGAGCCGAAACCAACATGGATGACACACGAGAAGAGGTTAGCTTTAGGTTCTGAAAGCGTATTGGGACTCTGACTTTTAAAATGCATATTCTACAGGTGGTGTTGTATAAGAAGGATGGTGCTTCATTAAATTCCAGGTTACTTAATTAAGGAAAACTCCAAATGAAGCAAATTATATATAGGAAAATTTGGATTGATAAAGCAGGTAAATTGAGGTTTTGACAATTGTATTTTTTTTCAGAAAAATTTCTGATTTACAAGGAATTTTATTTAAACAGAATTGTTCACATATATTCGAATATTAGTCCAATTCATCTGCAAAATATTGCTGTTGTCCTATAAAATGAAGCATATCTGTATGAATATTTAATGTGAATAAGCAATTCCTTACTGACAGTTCTGAGGAAATGTATGAAGCATACAAATCACCAGGCAATGCAAGCAGCCCATGTTAGATTTGGAATGAGTCTCCATGCTGATATTGGAATAGTCACCCACTTGTTCACTTGGCTATTCTAAACATATGAATTTCTTTAGCCCAGCAGACTTCCTTCTTATAAATAGCTCTGTGAATGTGGATAGATCCATTATCCTTTCCTTTCTTATTCCTCCAATGAGGGGGTCATATTAAATTATCTCCAAATCCCCTCAAGATGGAACATGTCACGTTCTTAAATAAGGTTCCAAGGGTAAAGGGCACCCAGTTTGATTGGCTTAGAACTTGATCTGCAATTGGCTGACCTTGGATACCTCTTTCTAACTTGGTCTGTGTATAGTTTGCAGCCACCAGTGAGACTGCTTTGCTCTGTCACAGTGAGTTTCCCTTCCAATTGGTCCTGCAGTCCACTGGTAGATGCCTGGGACTTTTTGGTCATTAAGTACGATAGCCTAAGTCTGTATTCTCTTTTTAGTCCCAAATTCCTCTGATTGGTTTAGAGGACAAGATTTCACCCTTAACTGTTTGGAGTCAGGATAAAAGAAGTGGCCCAATTTGTTATACTCCCAAATGGAAAAATTAAAAATTGTGGAGAATATTACATGAAATATTTGAGCTGTTTTTGTTGTTTTTAGTAATAATTATTAATTAGGTATTATAGAATAATTATATGAAAAATGTAAGTCCTTTAAATTTCTACAATCCAGAGACTTCCATAGTTAGCATTTTGATGTATATACTTCTAGTCAATGTAAACATGTACATTATGTAGTTTGAAAAATGGAATATATACTATACATATTCCTATATATGCATATATGAACATGCATATAAATATTATATGCATATATGAATGATAGTGAAAACCTACAACTGAAGGAAGACTTGTGTTTTGAAAGATATAGTCAAACACTTGTTCTGAGGTAGGTGTATACTTTAAAACACTCCCTTGCCAGGCACAGTGGTGCACGCTTGAAATCCCAGAGGCTCAAGAGGCTGAGGCAGGAGGATCATGAGTTTAAATCCAGCCTTACCAAATTAGCAAGGCCCTAAGCAACTCATTGAGACCTTGTCTCTAAATAAATTTTTTTTTAAAAGGGGCTGGGGATGTGGCTCAGTGGGTTAAGCACCCCTGGGTTCAATCCCTGGTACCAAAACAACAACAACAACAACAACAACCACAACAAAAGAAAAAATACCACTCCCTTTGTTTTATGGTTTCATAAGCTTGCCCATCAGAAAATGGACAAATTTAATATAGCAGTACAATGTAAACTAATGTCTATAAACCCAGTGACATTAATAAAAGATACTACAGAAATACAAAGTAGCATTTTCACAGATGTATTTCTGATAATATAGAAGTAGAATATTTTTGATGATGTAGAAGTGCATTTTGGAAAAGCATTGCTAATCGTTTTCTCTCCAGTGTGACAACTGGGAGAATTTGTTTCCACCAAATTCTCAGTGGGTGAGGCATCACCAGTCCTGGCACCACCTAGCGTCGAGGTCACTTCACTCTCAGACACAGAAGACTGGATGATGAAGTTCATTAGGTAAGTACTCAGAGACTGTTCAAACCAAGAGCCGGAGGCTAATGTGGAGAATTTTTAACGACTTTACTATGACTTTTGGAAAGACATAACCAAGAACAACACGTGCATACATATAAGACTGATATTAAAATTATTTTGTGGCTCAGTGGTAGAGCACTTGTCTCGCATGTGTGAGGCACTGGGTTCTATCCTTAGCA